GGAATTTTTAAGAGTCCAGTTGGGAGGGCCAAAGGACGAAGAAAAAGAAGGGGAGGACAGTAAGTCCAGTGGCGAGCTGGACTCGGATTCTTCCAGAAAGGACTCTCTTTCAGAGAAAGGGGCAGCGGCTCCTAAAAGCCCTTATAAGTTGCGGAAGAGACGGGGCAAGGAGAAGTGAAGGCTGAAGGACTCTGATATGTGTCTTAAAAAAAATGTTGAATTGAGATGCTTGGGGGTATTTCTTAATAACAGCTGAATTTAAGAATTTAAAAAGACAATGATATATCTGACTCAGTTTGTAAGGGGATTAGTGGAATTAAGACTTGATGTTTATGTAAGCTGATTAGAAGATCTCCTCTCTTGGGTTTTTAGGTATTAGTGGGTATCTTTACTTTGTCCCTAGATGTAGTCCCTTATCCTATTTCTGTTGTAGTTTGTAGTATTTATAAAATTAAAACAAGACAGTATTTTCAAGCAGAGGGAGGAATTTGCCTCCTGTGTCTGAGCCTTTCATAGTCCAAAGGACTTTCACAGAGTATACCCTTCTCCACCAGATGCATAAATCTGTCTGTCTGTCTATCATCTGTCTGTCTGTCTGTCTGTCTGTCTGTCTGTCTGTCTGTCTGTCTGTCTGTCTATCTATCTGTCTATCTATCTATCTATCTATCTATCTATCTCATTCTTAACCTGCTTTTCTTCCAAGGAGTTTGGGTGCCAGACGTGGTTATGCCTCCCCTGTTTTATCCCCACAGCAGCCCTGTGAAGTTGATTAGGCTGAGAGAGGGGTTTTAACCTCAGTCTCCCCAGTCCCAGTCCAACTCTCTAATCATTATACCTCGTCCTGGGAATTCTACTAATAAATTCTGGTGTCCATGTTTTGCATATCCCATTAATTAGATGTTATGAGCTAGAGGGACTCCAGTGTGCTTGTAGCCCTGTCCTAAATGTGTTTTCCCAGAGAAAAGTCTGAGTTCAGTGGGGCCTGCTTCCAAATAGTTTCGTAGCTCAGTCCCTATGCAGAGTCGGGCATGACTTCGATGGGGTTAGGCTTGCTTAAGTTGGCATCCTTTCAGCCCATTCCTATGCATTCTTCCATATGATTTGCATGTGGTGATGATTCAGAAAGACTCACGTTCCACACGAGCATATGTAGAACTGGATTCCCGAAAGCAGACCCCAGGGACCTCTGTGTTCTTTTAAGCAGCCACTTAATTGTCCTACGTTGTGCACTCATGCCTCAAAATGGCTTCTCTGGTCTGTAAACCTTTCCTTGGTCTGGTCTAGAGATGGAAAATTTCCAGAAATTTTGAAGCTATGGGGGGAAAAACTTTTCTCCCATCCTCCTCCCCAAAAATCGAATGTTTGGGGAAAACTGAAATACATGCAGTGCTTGGTGGCCTATCAAACCTAAACTAAATTTATCCATCATTTATAATTTACTTAACATATAAAATTGCAATATTTGAAATATTTATGGTATTCAAATGTTATAAATGCCTTAGTTTCCTACAAGGAAAACTGCAAATATACCCAGTGCTTAAGAGAAAACCACAAGCTGATGCACCCTAAACTACCTTAGCCCACGTACGTTAATTTTTGCTATCTGAAAACCAGGAAAAAAATAGGAGTTAAACAGAAAACACAAGTTTTTTTTGTTATATAACATAAAATATTGTTATATTGTTCTAATCTGTTTTGATTGTTTTTAATTGTATTGTGTATTGTATCCAGCTGGTTTTATGTTGCTTTATGATGCCAAATGGCCTTGTAAGCAGAGGTCATTTCGG